AGGCACGGAAAGGTCCATCTGCATTCCCACTGTAGCAGTGGAGCGTAGTGCAGTGCATATGTCCGAGATGGAGTAGGGAACAATAGTTTCCAAGCCTCTGTATAGGAAATGTTGTGAACAGTCTTCAAACACTGTACCTCTTTCTCCTCCACCCACTTATGGCAAGACCTAAAGTAAGAGGGGTGGGAACCACTACAATTAACACAGTGCGGGTCCAGTTTACATTCATAGGCGTCGTGGTCCTTGCCACCACAACGAGCACACATCATAGAACCACGACAAGATGTCATTGAATGACCAAACCGCTGGCACTGAAAACATCAGAGAGGGTTGGGAATATAGGGCCGTACCTTACAGTTCAAATAACCTGCCTTAACAGCGGCCAGTGAACGTGGTGATGAAAATGTCAAAATAAGAACTGAGGTCGGCACCATAATACCATCCTGACGAGTGGAGATCCATCGAACAGCTGAAACTCCTTGGCTGGAGAAACCAGCAAGGATCTCTGACTCGGGGATAGACTTCAAGTCCCTCTCAACAATAACTCCTTGTGATGCCCCTTGTAGGACTCCATGGTGGGTGGGGTCAGTGGGCACTGAATCCTTTTTCTTAATTATGAATTCCCCCAATCCAAATGAAAAAACAGTAAAAACTCCGCTTATTGGTAAACAACCACGCCTAGAAGACTCTGCACAGCAGTCTCCACCACAAGGTGGCCCTGTACCTCGCTTTCTGATCTTACATTCACTATCCGATAAATCTTTAGGGCAAATGTCCCCTTTTTTATTCAGAAGGGCTTAGAGGGTCTTGCTGGCTCTCAAAAGTCAGTTAAGAAACTCCGTTCTGGAGACATCTTGGTCGAAACATCCACAGCTAAGCACAAGGAACTCCTCTTGAATTCAAGGGCCATTGGGGATATACCCATTGAGGTTACTCCCCATGCTTCCTTGAATTATGCACTACAATGTCAAACAAGAACACTGCAGCAATGCCAGGGTTTCATGAGCACTATACCCAAACACCAGCATCAGACATGATGTCCACAACACCCATTGAGAATGCCCGACACTGGTACTCAATTGACCCTAGCCTGAGTGGACCAGCCGATTGACCCTGGGGGGGGTCACCCCAAGGCCACCCATCTACAGGAATTCAAGGCCAAAGTGGTGTGTTGCAGTGCCCCAGACACCACTCAACCACCAGGATCCTCTCCTCCCCTTCATGGGTCGCCACGCACGGCAAACACGTGGGTGGTTAATAATGGTTGGAGACGGCTTGAATAGGTAATGAAGACAAACTTTAATATAAGTTTAACATAACAGCAAATGTACAACGTTTCGACAAGGTTTTGTCATCATCAGGTAAGTGGGTGGATGTTTAGATCCCAGAAGAAGTAACTGAAAATACAGAACCTTCCTTGGGAGGTCCCCTCACCATGTACAGGAATCCACGGCGAGGGGCACCAACATGGAATACATGAGGGAGTGACTATCCTCTGACAATCCTTATGGTGAGCAATTGATAGCCACAAATATGAGAGGGATAGAGGAGAGTCAATGCATGTGGTTGGTTAGGAGCAAACAGATTTTGGAAATTTGGGCCTAGGAAATATTTCACAGTGGTATCAGGGACAGATCCCCATAACTGAATCACAAACTCCAAGGTCTGAGTCCATAAATGGAAAATCTGAAAGCTAGTATGCTAATTCTTAAGTATTCAAGGGACAAGGCATGCTGACCCCAGGACATAATAGTGCAATAAACAGGTCCGCGTGTACCCTGACCTCAGAAGAAGGGAAGAAGACAACTATTTAATAGTTTATCTAAGGAAGGAGAGGAATCATTCGACATGGGATATTAGGAAGGCTGAAAATGGTCTGGGAGTATCCACACTACTGTAGAATTGCATGGCAAAGTAAGAATTAGTAAACAGGCTATCCAGAAAAAGGAATATCTGATCTGTGATCAAAGATGCAGCAGGCCACACAATGGCCCCCAACTCACAACATCCTAAAATTCTATACCTCCTCAGCAGAAAGTATGAAATGCAAAGTCTAAGAAACTGCAGTGGCAGTTTTAACAACAGTAGTAGTTGTTGTTGTTGTTGTTGTGAATTGAAATTCGAAAAATAAAATTCAACTGTGAGTGGATAATGATATATCAACCTACAGTATCTAGTTTCACTGTAGAAGCAAATGAAAATTGATAAGAAAACTAAGAAAGTTGTTTAACAAATTAAACTGTTAATGCAAAATACAAAGCAAACAAACGAAATTTTGAAACATCTGCACTCTACTATGCCAAATCGAGAAGTGAAAGATTGGGTTCTACAGTATAGAGGGAGACAGCCGTGACAGAAGAGTGTGTTGTGCTCCTATTGATGAACGGTTGTCGTATAATTATTTGCATACTAAAATGTAGCTGTACCACATTAAAGATATGGGGTAGGTAGGAGTGTCAAAGCTAGTGGCGAGCAGAAAAATTGTGCATATAGAGGGCAGCACTGAATGAGAAAAACTATAATGTAAGATGGTAGGGTATATCAGAAAACTACACTTAACATAACTTACCTTGTGTTCAAACTTTAATGACTGCATATGATTCATATAGCGGTTACAGTAGAAAAGATATCTCTGTAAGGCTGCCCTAGACCGTTCCTGAGCATCTCTTGCTGCCTTAGCTTCTTCCTCATCATAACGGTTACAGTTGTACCTGGTAGAGATAAAAAAATTATAGTTTCAAATTAATTTAGATTTTAACCTTTTCCAGCATTGTGAAATTTGGACCACTTCTGCATATAAAAGCCAGTGAGTGTCACGTCATGCTGGATTTCTCAAAATAAGAGGAGTCATAATAGTCAAAATTCATTTATCCAGATAAAATAGTTCAATTACTGTTTCAGTGATGTGGGTGCAAGGGGGCTGTGAGGGGGGTTAGGGTGCCATGACACTTATAAGTGTAGTGAGTGTTGGTATAATGAGCCTAAAGTAAAGATGTAGTGTGGGATTACCTAGCTTAGAGCCAAGTGCATAAAATTTATCATGAAAGTAAAAATATCAATTCAATTTTAAACTTAAATCATTTGTGAAGTAAGCTATTTTCTGTTATATCACCAACGTTTTAAATAAAAAAAAACATCTTTAATCAATGGAATCTATAAATTAATAAATCAACAAATATTTTCCCAGTTTTATTGTCTATACATTTCATTTTATAATTTCAGTACATAGACTAACAACAATATTGTTATTCTTTTGTTGCTAAGCAGCATGACATAAAAGCCATTGTTAGAACAGTGTTATCAAAATACACTGTTTTTTCTATATATTAGAAGTTGTTAATCTAACTGATTTTTACCCATAATTATTCTATGAATATGCCACAAATTCATTTCATGGATGATGATTTTGATTAGTTCACAAAGGAATTTACTGAATTTGACTGCATGTTTCTGCCCTTTTGTTGGTCAAGCTTGATTCTGCAAAATTTATTTATTTCAGTTAGCTATGAAATGCATGGTTAGCGTATACTATGGGGTGGGGGTGGTAGTACTTGCCCCATCATTTTTGACAGGCTATACACTGTAAACAATAATACCTTGTAAATGTCACTATATCTGAAACACAAACACTTCAAACATAAAACATGGTAACCAAAGTACATTTCTGAAGTTGTATTGGATTTATTAGTAGATTTACAATGTATAATGAAATAAAAATCACTACATGAAATGCCTATATATCATGCTATTATGCAACATGCCCATAGCTATTATTCTGAAATCTGTCATTAAAATGCTTATTAGTAATAACATCATGCCTCATCCAATATGTTGAAAGAAAGTTTGCAATATCTTATATATCATTAAAATCAATAAAAACAGATGGTATTCAAATTACCATATCCTATTTATGAAAGTTACCAAGGTACTCCTTTTTCAAAAACATCCCCCAGCTACTAACCTCATGCCAGAGCAAGGTCTAACATAAGACTCCATACTTTCAAATTACCAGTATGAATTTTGTAAAGTGAAAAGTAATTGCTCAAGTAACTACTTCAAAAAAATAAACAAGTAGAGAAACAGTAAAATAATTATTATCTTTACATATCATACAAAAGTATAAAACCACAATATAATTATACTGTTTTGAAGCATGTAATTAAAGAAGGCTTCTGACATAATAATTAAAAGTCTAGCAATTTGCAACATCTATAAGGAAAAAAGGGGGCTCTTTGGCAAACAGACAATGAATAGAACATTATCCCATCTTTAAGACAGTATATTTATGATTTTGTTAATTTCTAGAAGCACAGAAGTTGCATAACAAAAAACTGCAAACAGTTAAAATTCAAGTTTTCGACACCAACAATTTCAAAAATTCACTGCTTAAAAACAATTTGAGCTGGAAATGAGTGCAATAAATATGTGCAAAGGCCATGGATTTGCAATTTTATATCATATATTGACAAGTTTGATCTAAGAAGATGAACAGAAGATAGGCTCAAGTATTTCTACTTCCCATATCAAAACTACAATTAGGGGTTACAAATTGAAATTAGGTTTAGTAGGTTGGATTTTTCTTATTAAAACAAATATTAACAAAATATACACCAAATTAATTCTAAACCCAAACATTTAAGTTATATTTTGTAGACAATTTAAGGGGAAACATCTGAGAGAATTTTTTTAACTTAATGATGTTAATGCGGTCATAAGGAAAACATGATATATCACAGTGGAAAAAGTTAAAGACACGAAAAGATTGTTTTTGCATAACTTTAATCAATAGATCAAAAATAAAAATAGTATATATCTAAGGTTAATATGATCCTTTAAGAAGCTCCTCATGAATAAGTTTAAAAATTTTAAAAGTTTAAAGATAAAAGTTTAAAAATATTATGGGACCACTTCAAATATTTTTCTACAAAATATGAACAAGAAATACAGAAAAAAGTATCATGATTTACAGTACTGTTATACTGAATGAATTAATATACCATTATGGGATTGTTAGATCTTTAAAATTTAATATCCATTTCAACTGTACTTCTGTGGCTCTTTCATGACCATGCCAAAATATTTAGGAAAGAAGCAAAGTAAATGTATATTCTCTTAAGCCTCTCAAGTCAGAGTGCACATCACAGTCTTTTAGACTTAGATTCCAAATTTCATTAAACTACTTGATTATCAATGTATACAAATAAACTTTGCATCAAAACATAGTTAACAAATCAAATTTAAATATGTTTTACATTCTTAGTTTTATAAAGAAATATTTTAAAAACTCCTGAATCTCACCTAGTTTGAGAACCATGACATTTATTCTCTAGGTCTTCTTCGTTTCTAATTTATTTACCAACCCTCTCTGAAGTACAAAATTTAATGTAACTTACTCATTATAATAATACAAATATTACTAAGGCAAAGTCTGATTTTTATAGCCTTCAATGTTATTTGTTTACAGAGACATAAACTAGAAAATCAGACATTTTCCATCCCTACTTGTCACATGTCTCACTTTCACAAATTGCCAATAATTCTCTCTGACTTTTCGTATTATATTATTTACAGCCAATACATAGATGAAGTTTTAATCTATCAAATGATGTATTATATTACGTTGTTTTCAGTATAGAGCATTATCTATTTCTTCTTCAGTTTGAAAGTTTCTCTCAAGGTGTTCAGGTTAAGAAGCTTAAATATTTTAAGGCTCTTATGCCATAGTTAGAAAGTCAATTAAGTTATGATAGTTATAAGACATTGTATGCTTTGTGTGTATTAGTTTTCTGTGTTCTTAGGTGAATTATTTAAGTAAATTAATGGTACCAGTACCATTAGTAAAAAAAAAAAAGTAGGCTTATCTTTCATCTGTAGCCAATAGAAAAAAAACAATAGGGCAAAGATAAGCAATGTATTTCTTGTCTTTCACAAATGTTCTATATTTATTGTTATAAAAGTAAGTAAAATGTAAAAATTATAAACTTGTTAGGTTAGATTATGTAACATAATGGGGAAAAAAAATCTTTATGATGTATCTTTGCAAACAGCTTGTATATTACGTCATTCAATAAGATAAAGAGCAACACATTCACTGAGTGACTTACAACTTGTGTAGCAGGATTATTAGTTAGACACATTTCAAAGGGCAATAAAATAGTAAAATTAAGTATAAACAGATGTATACTGTTATAATTTTTAACTCTCTCAACATGGGGTTGATCAATTTGACCGACTATGTGACCTCTTTGTACTCATTTAAAGTCTTTATAGATTATTACTTTTAACTTTCAATATAGTGTGTATATCTTCACAAAATTTCAGTCTTTCAGTTAACATAAGTCTTTCACATGCAAAAAAAATTCATATTTTTTAGTGAGGTATTTTCAATAACCTAAAATAAAGATTTGTCCATGAATATATTGAGTATTTGTTTTGAATAGTCTGCGTGAAAGTAATTTTCATG